GATCTTAGCACCACGGGGTTTGTGTGGAGGAGCCGTGGCATCTCCACGTTGCCTTGGGCAGCACCATTCAGAGCGGACTCGGCTGTGGCCGGAGCTGTGCAGGGCCAGGCGCCCTCTCCTCTCCACTGCTCTAGTGCGTTGCAAGAGGCCCAGGCAGCCCAGAGCCGCTGCTGCTCCCACGGCGGCCAGCCAGTCCCAAGCACCGGCCCTGTTCTCTTCGCAGATGTCTCAGGGCAACCCCAACCTTGGCAGCCTGTTGAACATCAAGACAGAAGCGGAGGGCAGCCCCGCCGTGGAGTCCTCGCCCTTCCTGGGCAAGGCCGTGAAGGCGTTGGTTCAGGAGAAGCTGTCCGAGCCCTGGAAGGTGTACCTTCGAAGGTGAGGGGCTCCCTGGCAGAGCAAAGGAGCAGGAAGGGCCACGCCCACCCGTCGTGGTGGCCAGTGCCCCAGGGTCTCCTCTGACCGCTGCTTCCTCTGGCCAGGTTTGGCACCAAGGACTTCTGTGACGCCCAGTGTGACTTCCTTCACAAGGCACACTTCCACTGCGTGGTGGAGGAGTGCGGCGCGCTTTTCAGCACCCTGGACGGGGCCATCAAGCATGCCAAGTGAGTGGGGGTCCCCAGGGCACGTGGAAACCCAGCCCCTTTCATTCCAGCCTGGCTCCAGGCTGCGTGGGGTTGGGGGCTGCCTGGGTCTCTAGCTGCCTTCCAGGCAGGCGCCGTATGCTGCTCGCACCGAAACTCAGAAGCTGAGCTAGTTTCTTAGCAGGTACTGCCTGAAAAAGGCAGGCTTCCCCATCCTTCCACCTGCTCAGCCGCCTGGCGGGGTCCTCTGAGCCTGTCCAGGCTCCACCTAGAGACCCTGAGCAGCTGTTTCTGCCCACCCCCCACGCCCCTCCCCCACCAGTGTGGCCAGCAGCTCTACCACAGATGTTCCCTACAGAGCCAGCTGGAAAGACCCCACTCTGACCCAGGCAGAGACCTTAGATGAAGGCCTTTTCCAAGCCACAGTATTACATTTGTAGATTTTCTTTGACCTAAAAATAATGAAATTAATTTGTAAACCCACTGAGCTGAAAAGCAGCAGGCCAGCCGCCTCTTGTAATTGAACCCAGAACTTGCAGACATTTAACACAGACTTCGGCTACTGCCGGGCCCCAGCTCAGGCTCCGCTCACTGCTCAGGCAGCCGTTAGTCTGCAGAAGAGCCATCTTTGAGGGCCGAGCGAGACCCACCTTTAATTCTCAGAGCAGATTCTGGAAGCACAGATTCATGCCCCCTGCTGTCCCTGTCCCCTGCTCTGTGTAGGAAGGAGCTAGGGACAGACACAGCAGGAAGATCACAGGAAGACATAGCTAGGGCTGAGCCAGGAGCCCAAGTTCAGAACCAGAGGACACAGCAGTTCTCAGTCCTTCCCTCCTGGTGGCATCACACCTGCTGCTGGGGACTATGTAGGGACACTGGGCCCCTAGGCTCACGATGGGGTAACATCCAGGGAAAGGCTACCTGCGCAGGGCCCTCTTCCTCCCCACTGAGCTACTGTTTCTGCCTGTTGCAGCTTCCACTTCCGGACGGAGGGAGGAGCAGTGAAGGGAAACGCAGAGGCTCCCTTCCCCACCTCGGCTGCGGAGACCAAACCTGCCTTGGCCCCCTCGTCCCCTCCAGCGCCTCCTGTCACCACAGCCTCTCTGGAGGGTCCCACTCCCAGCCCGGCTGCCGTGCCCTCCACCCCCACGCTGCTCGCCTGGAAGCAGCTGGCTTCCACCATACCCCAGATGCCTCAGATTCCAGCGTCAGTGCCTCACCTGCCCACTTCGCCCTTGGCAACGACTTCTCTAGAAAACGCCAAGCCCCAGGTCAAACCCGGATTCCTCCAGTTCCAGGAGAAGTGAGTCCCTCGATGAGCCGGGAGTCCCGTGTCCCCCGCGTGTCTCGGGAGTAGGTGCTAGCAAGGGCAGCCGAGGAGGTGCTGCTCCTAACCCTGCAGTGAGCCCGGGCTGTCCCCAGCCTCTCTGGGACACGGTCATCGGACGCTGTCCTTCTAGCCAAAGAAGCTGCTGCTCTGGCCTCACTGCCTGCTCCCCAAGCAGGCAGCCGGGGTGGGAGAAGGTGGTGGTGGTAGGGGCCGCTGTTCCAGAGGGGCAGCGTTGGCACTGTGAGGACCAGCTTAGGTGGGCCGGGAGTGCTGGGCCTCGCCCGGCAAGGAAGGCTGCATCTCACTCTGGGCCTTGCACCCATGGATAAGTCTCTGCAGAGCAAGCGAAGTCATGGGTGGGGGGCGAGGGGGCTAGGCCTCCACTCCAGGCCCACACCCGTCCGCACAGTGGTCTGAGCTCTCAGGGGTGGAAGGGACCTTCCTCACTGGATGGTGGTGGCGCCTTGCGGCGAGAACGGTGACTCTGTATCGTTATGTGTGCGGCTTCCTGTTCTCAATAAAAGTAATAAATTGGATGTGAACGTGTACCGCCTGAGTGGCAGCTGTCCCCCCTCTCTGGGCACCTGGGGCTGGGCCTCTGGCATGGAAGGGGACCTGCGTTCCTCTCCGTCCCTCCCCGAGCTTCCCTTGTTCCGTTCCGCCTCCCCACAGCGGCAGCGCTCTGTCTCCCCAGCGCGGTCGGATTCCCACCCCGGGGCCACCGTGGCGGCAGCTGTGGCACCAGCCAGGGCAGAAGGCCGGGGCATGGCGTCCTCCACACCTGTCTGCAGCCCGGGAGGCAGGCCGTGGGGCAGGGCTGCCGCTCACGGCATGGGGGCTCAGCCCAGCACCCCCCACCCCCCCACCCCCGAGCCCCACCACTCAGGCGGCCGGTGAGGTTCTCTGAGTGGGCGGGAGCCCTGAGCCCCGAGGTGACCCTGGGGGCCCCGGCAGCTGTGCGCCTCAGCGGGACCTGACACCAGGCGCACACTCCCCCTGGCCAGGGCCCCGAGGGAGCAGAGCTTCCGGGTAGGGCTGCCCACCCATCTGCACCCTGTCAGTCAGCCACACCCAGGGCAGTGCCTGTGCCACGCCAGCCAGGCCCTCACTGGCGCCCCGCCAGGGCTGGCAACGCCATCTCTCATTTTCACATCCAAGAGGTTATTGCAGCCGCCTTATCTATAATCCTGAGGTGTGGCCGTGGAAACTACGTGTCCCAGCATGCAATGCTCTGGGCAGGCTGCACACCGCAACCCTTTCTGCACCAGCCGAGCTCCAAAAAGAAGGCAGGAAAGCATGCTGGGATCTGTAGTCTCCTCTGGCCGAGGCCACTTGTTGAGCAGGAAGGCAGCCCCGGGGGCCATTCCTCTGGGCCACACCGCAGGGGATTAGGGAGCAGAACTCCAACTCGACCAATGTCAGGATGTCGGCGGGGAGGGCTCTGGGAACGCCAATGACCTTCTGGGCTGTGGTTTCCTTCCAGCGATCCTTGCCTCGCCACGGACTGCAAGTACGCCAACAAGTTCCACTTCCACTGTCTCTTCGGGAACTGCAAGTACGTCTGCAAAACCTCCGGCAAGGCTGAGTCCCACTGCCTGGACCACATCAACCCCAACAACAACCTGGTGAACGTGCGAGACCAGTTTGCGTACTACTCACTTCAGTGTCTCTGTCCCAACCAGGTCAGCCCCGGGGACAGGTGCGGGCGGGGGCCTGGGGCCCTGGGGCCCTGGGTGGGGGGCAGGGAGGCACGGGGCCCGGGGTTGGCTCCTCCCGGCAGGGGTTCATTACGTCTCTCACGCCCGTTTTGAATTGGCCTCGTCCAGACTCTGGAAAGGGCACTGTCTTGCCCCTGGGCCCCTGGAGGCCCCTGGGCAGGGGTCCAGATTGGTGCTCAGTTGGTGACGTCTGTCATTTCATCCCAACTCTCTGTGCACTTGGCATCATTCTGCCCATCCTGGAACTATGCTCCCTTTCCCCAGAGGCCTAGAATTTTAAAATAGGCCCATTGGACAGCTAGAGATTGAACTGTCCGTGCCCCAGAAAGGAAGGGCAGATCAAGTTCACCATAAAGGCCTACCCCAAGACTGGTAGGGGCTGTTTGGCAGAGTGCCTTGAGAAGGAGTCTGATCCTAGAGCTGGGCATTCCAGAGAAGAGTGCTAGGCCAGATTAGTGATGTCTGCCTAAGGCCAAGCCTCCAGAGAGGAGTGCTAGGATAGATTAGTGATGTCTGCTCTGGGTGTGGAATTAGAAATGGGTGGCACGATTACCAGGTAGGATGTTTTGGTCAGATTCCAAAAGGGACATACCGCTTTTTAACACGCAAAAGGCCTACACCCGGTTGTGTTTTCTGATTTGAGCACGGAAGAACAAAGGGCCTGCCACTCCCAGAGCCGTGGGCCCGGTGGGAGCTCAGAGAAGTGGTCAGCCTGGCCCTGACCCTCCCGTCCCTCCCTGCAGCACTGCGAGTTCCGGATGCGTGGACACTACCACTGCCTCCGGACCGGCTGCTACTTTGTGACCAACATCACCACCAAGTTGCCGTGGCACATAAAGAAGCACGAGAAAGCCGAGCGGCGGGCAGCCAACGGATTCAAGTACTTTACCAAGCGCGAGGAGTGTGGCAGGCTAGGTACTGAAGGCCGCGGTTGGGGGGAGAGACTTGCAGCAGGTGGCAAGGTTGTGGCTCTGGTGGCCCCGGCCACCTCTCCTGGTACCCACCTCTTGTCCCTGCACGTCAGACTCTGTGTTGTGTTAAAAATGCCACTGATGTCACAGGCCAGGCATCATCAAACAGGGGAAACTGTCAAAACACGGAGAGCCCAGGAATAGGGGTGTGAGTGACTCAGAGCACTCCGCCTACATCCGGGGAAAATGCCTGGGGCCTCGTCATCAGAGTCAGGCCTTGGACTCGGTGCTCTTTCCCGTTCTCTCAAGAGGGAGTGCGGATAACATAGGAGCCCCTGATGTTCCTCACTCTGGGATCTCTTTCCATGGCTCTAACTGCAAGGGCTTTTCCAGAACGGCCCCTGGTTTGTTTGCTCATTCAGCAGATACCTATCGAGGAAGAGCGGTGTGCAGGGCTCCGTGCCGTTATGGGAGGTGGTGGGGGTGGTGGCAGCTCAGGGTTTTGAGTGTCTTCTCTGGCCAGCACCGTGCTTGGCAGTGGGGGTCTGGTAGGACAAGCATGTGCACTGTGGATCGGCCCAGAGCATCTGTGACCTGGGGTGACCCAGAAGGAGGTGGCCATGGGGCTGGGAAGGAGGCCACAGATGGCCCTGAACTTCGAAGCAGATGCCAGGGAGCTGAGTCTGCTGTTGAGAGCTGGGCCCTCGTCAGGGAAGCTGCCCGGAGCCCTGGACCCGACCGGGGCCTCCCGAGCAGCTCCCTGGCCCCAGCGTGCCCTGAGGATGCCTTTGGGCAGGGGGCAGACCCCACCCACCTGCCTCAGGATGGAGCCACACGTTCACAGGCCTGCAGATGTGGGGTAGGGATCTGCCAGGAAAAAACTGGAAACTGGAAGGCAGGTGGCAGCTAGGCAGGCCGGGCACAGACAGCTGGGCTGCAGGCCAGGCCTGTTGTGACTCAGGTGGTCATAGCAGCAGGGCCTTGGGGGAGCAGAGGTGGGGCCGTTGGCTGCCGCAGACTGGCCCTTCCACAGGGGCAGGGTGAGATACTCAGCGACTGCCAGAAAAGACAGGAAACAAACCTTTCTTTCAAGTATTAATTCAAAAAGAATTCGTGGCCTGGGAGAGGGTTGGTAACCATGGCAACAGATGTCAACATTTGGTGGCCTGTGCCGTCCTTGGGCTCAGTTTACGGGGGTCAGGGTATTCCGTAGTTGTCGGTATTTACTCAGCTTCGGGTGTTTTTGGTGGTAGTTGGGGCCAAACAAAGCTGGGGGATGATATAAGACACCTGGCCAGCCCCGGCGCCATGGCAACGGGCAGGCCTTCACCTGCCCTTTGCTGACACTGTTGCAGTCTTGCCCGCTGTTTGTTCTCAGCCCAGAGCGAAGCCGAGGTGGGTGGGGGCGGGGCAGAGGTCCACACAGGTCTGGGGGCAGGCACCCGGGCTCCCCAGAGATGTGGAGACAGGTGGCTTGCCGGGAGGGGGCCGAC